CGGGCGCCCGCTGGAAAGTACCTTTTTCTCATGAACGGTTCGAGCTCCTCGCCCTGGGCTCCCGCCATGGACACTATGAAAACCACCTATATCGTGCTGGAACTGATCATCGCTGTGCTCTCCATCGCTGGCAACGTCCTGGTCTGCTGGGCCGTGGCCATCAACAGTACCTTGAAGAACGCAACCAACTATTTCCTGGTGTCCCTGGCAGTGGCCGATATTGCCGTGGGTTTGTTAGCCATCCCTTTCGCCATCACCATCAGCATCGGGTTCCAGGTGGATTTTCACAGCTGCCTCTTCTTCGCCTGCTTCGTGCTGGTGCTGACCCAAAGCTCCATTTTCAGCTTGCTGGCCGTGGCCATCGACAGGTACCTGGCTATTAAGATCCCACTGAGGTAAGAGACTGGAGCGGACGCACATAGCCATGTTCCCTGGCAGCCCAGGCTGCGACCTTCCTTGCCTTAGCCTGCAGCAACTGCTGGTCTCTGGTGTTGCTGTAAGAGGTTTGCTGCTCGCACGTGGCGATGAAAACACCAGAGATTTTGCACTCACTCGCCACAGGACTGGGATCAGGTTTTCTGTGTCCTGCCTCTTACTTCAAAATATACCTGGGAGCTCCGTTGCTTGAGGATGTTTGTCTTGGGAGGGTCAGTGGCTTCTGCGGGGGGCTACGCAGGGATCTAGTAGCGTGGTTGGGAGAGTTGTAGCTAATCTATGTAGGTATTTATACAGCCCCCATTATTGTGGTGTCTGGGCATCTTCGCTCTTTCTCCTACTTTCCAGCCTATTAGAGAAGTAGTTTTGCAGGCTGTTCTCCAAGACCTCTTGTCTCTTCCTGAGCTCGGGACACAATACTTTCAGAAAGGCTGAAAGTCATCTGAAACAGATCTTAATACGACTTTGTACATTTTCAGCTAGGACTAGAGTCTCACTAGGCTGTGTTCCAATTTTTAAAGGGATATAAGGAATGGACTGAAAGCCCCGTTTGTTGCATCTACAAATACTGAAACCGTATTTCAGCGCTTGCATACGTACCTTTTCCTTCTGAGTGCTTACCATGAGTGAGTGGTATAGATCAGCAAGTGTTGGAAGGTGTCAGCTATGTTCATACATGGTGAAAGGAGAAGGGGAAAGGAGAAGGATTCATACCTCGGTTTTCAGAATTTTACAGTTCAGGCTTTCATCCAAGTGCAGTATCAAAGACATAAATTGGTTTCCTTCTAATCCATGGGGCAGTGTAATATACTGGGGCAAAATGTATTGAATATAATTTACTGGCGCTGAATATAATTTACCAGTGAGTTGGTGCAGCAGCTTCCTTAGGCTGAAGTGCACCAAAACCCTGGCTTTGCATTACAAATGATCTGACTCCATTAGTCTCAGTCTCCTTCATGCCTCTGTTGTCCCTCCCTGAAAATAAGACACGGATGGAGCCCTGCTGGGGAGTCCAGGACTGCTCGGGGGACTGGTCAGAAGTGGAGGCTGTGGGGAAGCAGGACAGATTTGGCACAGGGACTTCAGCTGAACTGTGTAAGCTGCAGCTACATCCTGCTTGTCTCTGGTATCTCCCTTGCACGAGCAATGAATTCACCCTAAAGTGACTTAAAAAACCCCCTTCACCCTGTTCTGGCACCTTGCACCGGAGAACTCCCATGCAGTGGGCAAATATTAATGAGTCATCAGGCAGATGATAAAAACTGGTAGTGGAAATGCGTGTACGCTGAGCGGCTGCGTGTGTCATCGGAGCACGGCGCGTGGAAATTCCACGGATGTAGAGTAAGCGAGAGCCGAGCGGCAGCCCTCCTCTGCGCAGGAGGGAGCGCGGGCAGAGCTGTTCGCGTTGCTGCCAGCGTCGCTGGCACAGGCTGCTTACCTGCCCAGCCGCCCCGCTGGACTCGGACGCACCGTGGCTCCGGATAAGGCTTTGGTGCCTTTTCCGTTCGGGGCTCTCTTGGGGTGGGGGCTAGCGGCACAGCAGCAGCTACAGAAGCAGGTCGGATTTTTTAAGTTTCAGTTTAATCACACCTCCCACCGCAAGCAAGCCGTTCAGGCCCGGGCTGTTCGCTGTAACTCTTTTCCTTTGTACCACAAGTGCCTGTTGCAGCACTTGGCTGAGGAAGTTGCATCTTGCGAGATGGGTTTCTGCTCCGCTGGAATCCGAGGCGAGGGTAGCAGATCCGAAACGCTCTGAGGCGATCTTTGCGATGTTTGCAGAAGGGAAGTGGTTTTGCCAACTGACAAAATAGCAAGTATTTCCTCCACGCTCTTTTTTTCACAGTCCTGGTCTCTAGCAGGTTTGCTTGGCTCCCCATTAGGTCAGTCCATGCACCTGGCGTGGGATTAAATCCCAGGGCACTTTTGTCTTGCTTTCGGGTCAGTTTTGCCTTGCGTTGGGATCCTTTCCCCATGTCGGTTTTTCACCCCATCTCAGCCCAAATCCTTTATTCCATTTGCACAAACATCTTTATTCCTGTGAGCGCGTCCTAGCTGGACACGTACAGCCCCTCCAGCTGTAAACAGAGATCCGGGAGTCCCATCCTGGGCTGGTCTGAAGTGTGAAGGTTGGATTAAACTTGGTCTTGGGATCGAGGCCCATTTCCTTGCTCTCAGAGGTGACCAGTAAGTAAAACCCCTTTAAAAGAACTCTCACTGCTAGGAGTGCAGGGCCGTGGACAGGTCATTGCTTCGGCGATGGCAGATTTCGGGACTGGTACTGAAAGGCATTTTTTTACTTGTGCAGCCAAGATCAAAAGATGATAGAGGAGGTTATAAAACTACGCTGGCAAAATAATTCTCTACTGCACTGGGGTTTTCCACCCAAGGCTTAGTTAGAGCTGTCTCCTCGGCATCGTTATTCCCAAAATGCTCCACAGTGCTGCTGGTGGCGAGGGGCCAGGGACTGGTCCAAGCCACCTGCTGTAGGTAGGTGCATGTGCCGTTTCTGGAAGGGGGTTTGAGCTGGTCATCAATTTGTAGGAATGGCGACTTTTCTCACTAAAACACTTGTTCTGGAGGCCAGTGCGGCGGCTGACAACACGCCATGAAGAAGTTTAAGAAAGTGATTTACACCCAGCCTGTCTAGCAATTACAGTAAATAACGTGGTTGTCGCAGAGCAGGCGAGTGTCCCTGTCGCATCCACCAGCTCCCTGTGGAAGCCTCTGTAGGGAATTGAGAACTGAGCGTGCCGTATTATTTAATACCATTTCAGGGCTATTTAAGCACACTGAGAGGCTGGGCAGGCCTGCGGGCTGGGGGTGCGCAGGAGAAGTTTGCATTACAGCCAGGCTAATAATGGATTTTTCAGTTCTGTGGCTGAACCAAAAAATCCCATGGGGAAGAGGAAAATTGTTGCAGTCAAACTAAAACAGGAATGTTTGGAGGTTTCAGTGAAACAAAGTGATCCTGACCAACCTGGCAGATTTTTGTTTGAGTTGCTTAACCCTTCTGATGTTGCTGCGCTGCTTTTTGAAATGCAGTCATCCTCGCTGGAAGGGAACTACCAAATTCTCATCTAGACAACTGCAGAACAAAAAATCTTGTAACATTTAAAAAATGGTGGTTTAGAACCCTTCCTTTTCTGGCTAAAAGTATTTGGTGAATTTGATCCGAAGCCATGAATTCTTTCTATCCCTTGAAACTCCTATTTTGTTTGTTTCTTTTTGACAAATTTGCTGTTTGTGCAGAAGCCCCGACCCGCGCTGCCCAGTTCGTGCAGCTGCAGCTCTGAGCCCCGTCCCGGGTCCCTTCTGCCCCCGCCGGCGCACCCGGACGCAGCTTCTTGTCTCCAAACGCGCTCTGACCCTGCCGCGCTTCCGCACCCCTCCCCGACCCCGGTGCCTCCGACCAGGCAGCGCTGCTCCCGCCTGTGCCCCTCCCCGGGTACACAGCACCAGCCCTGCCAACCTGACACCCCCGCCCCCCGAAAGCTCGCTCCCCCACAGCGCTTCCTCCCAGCAGGCTGCCAAAGCCGGGCCGCCGGGCATCTTTCAGCAGCAGTAAACCCATCCTGCAGAGCGTTTGGCGCAAGAGCGGTGCTAGGCTCTCGCTCGCTGGCTTCCTCCGGGGCTGGATTTCGCCCCACAGGCCCATAGCCGTGAGCCAGAGAAGATTTGTAGGTGGAATAAAATCTTTCCCTTTTATTTGCATCAACCAAAATCCTTTGGCGTGGCTAACAACTGTAGGTATGGGCAGATGCCTGGAACAAATGTGTCAGTAATTAGGGAGGGAGAAGAGTATCTGTATTTAGAGAGCAAAAGGAGAATGAAACACGTTGTACATCACGCTACGCGTGCCCTTGCGCAGCTGGTAACCTCCCGCAGGACAGTGAACGTCGTACTGCTGCTGCCTACCTGGCAAGCACCCCAGCTCAGAGCGGCGCAGGCGAAATTAGCCGCAGCTCCCTGCAGCTTGAGCTTATCTGGAGCTTGTTCCTCCTCCCTGGGTTTAGTCCTCTCCCATCTTCAAGATTATCCCTAGCAGAAGTGCAGGACTGACGTTCCCAGGCGGCTTTGCCGTGAGCTAGAACACGGCATCCGTGACCGCGCGCTCTCCCTGTCTGCGCCCTCGCTGCGCCCCGGCAGCCAGAGCATCCTCGCTTGGATCCCGGCCCGTTAACTGCTGCTCTGCGTCTGCTGCCGCCAGTCTCCCAAATGAGCTGCTGCCCCTCTTGTCTTGGACACGATGAAGACAGCAGTGCAGCTCGTTTTTGCTCTCCTCGTGGAGAAAATTCCATTTGGATTGTTGTTGCTCTTATCTGATGCTTTTCGCTGCCGCTGTCCTTTCATGAGGTGGGTTGGCTGATGCTTTGCGGCTGCCTGCCCTCGCTGTGCCCTGCTGCTGCAGAGGAGGGGGTTCCCTCTGTGTTCTCCAGCAAAGAATTGTTCCTGGATTCCTTTCAACTCCCAGCTTGTTCCTCGGCAAAGCAACCTGGTGGGTATTTATGGCAGGTGGGAGGGCTGGAGCCACGGGGGAGGAGAGAAAATCCTCTTCAGAGCCGTGGTCTTCACCTGCCCTTTTCTGTGCGCCACGTAGGCTCCAGCGACACGCAGAATTGCAGCTGCTCTTCCTTCTTCTGCCCTTGCTTCACTTCCTTTCCGAAGGGAAATCCTTGTGTTGCCCTTCACCTGAACTCCCAGGCGCGTTCTGCTGTCCACGTGTGGCTGACACGCACGGTGCCCGATCCTGAGACCCGAGCGGCACCGGAGGCATCGTTATTGCAGAGCGGCGGATGCTCTGCCTCCTCCGCCCGTCAGACGGCTGTGCCCGGCCGAGGTTACCATCAACTAATAAACTTAACATGCAGCAAACCTGGCAAACGTGCTGGGCGCTGTGGGCGGGAGGGCTGGCGTGTGCGCTCGAGCAGCGGAGCTGTCGCGTCCTTAAGGAAGTTTGTGT